TATTTATTTTAAATGATGAATAACTGAATAAAGCTATATGTACATTAAAATCTTAGCTTCAACAAGTTATATACAGCTGTACATGTATTAGTAAATTATAATTACATCAATTATACATTTGATTTATAATTGAGCCGTGTCACGACAAAACCAACATAGTGGGTTTGCGCCCAGCATGGATCCAGACCAGCTTGCGCATCCGTGCAGTCTGATCAGGATCCATGCTGTTCGCTTACAACTCTATAACAAGTAGAGAAACTGAAAGCGAACAGCATGGATCCTGATCAGACTGCGCGGATGGGCAGGCTGGTCTGGATCCATGCTGGTCGCAAACGCATTATGTTGGTTTTGTCGTGACGCGGCTCATTTGATTTATACGTTATTTCATTGTACATACACACATATACTAACTGAACAAAGCTTCAGCCTGTTGAAAGACTTGAACATTTATCATTACATGTTATACAGTCATCATCCTTTCACATGGTGGGTACTAACGTATAGTTAACATTTAACATGCTAAATATCTTTTAATAAACTTGCCCATCTTTCAGTCTAGACTATACCATTCATCACTTTTGGGAAAATTTCAAAATATATACCGACTCGTCTATTATCGAACATTTCAAACCATGATACAGAATAGTATATTATCTTTTTATCTTTTAAACGATAAAATGCCCTATTTCAGTTTCAAATTTTGTTCTCTTGCTATTTATACAATTTTCCAGGGTTGAATGCAAAACTGTTGTAAGTACTTCGCTGTTTCATACAAGTTACTACAGTTTTGAGGTCAACCCTCAAACATGCATAATAAAAAATTAAATTTTTTTTTAATTGAATGCTGGTAAAATGTATATTGAAGAATTTTTGAACGAAGGATCTCTCAGTCAAAAATCCTGGCACAGGCCTTCATAATAACATTTTTAAAAACATTTATTATCTCTAGATGCACACACCATGAAAAGCCTTCCAAATCTCCCTCTCTCACACACACACGCACATACAGACACACTGTTTCCTTCCCATTTTTATCGGATGTTTGATTTTCCAGCTTAACATGTAACGTTAGATCTCAGTTGCCCTTTCAGGCATGAGCAGGCTCAAAAGTAGAACATCTTTTCTACTAAGAAGGTTGTTCTTCTTTAGAAAAACCTTTCCTAGCAATAAATTCTTATCAAAAATTTAATATACATGTACATTGTCGCTGAAGAGTACATTTTGATTATTATTACTAGTTAATTTTTATTAACGATTCACAAAAGCACATTATTATACTGTACACGGTATTTCTATACTTTTTTTTACAAATTGAAAAAAAAAGAAATTAAAATATTAGTAACAAAATTCTTGGCACACTTATAGTATAACAAAAACAGGGCAATCATGTATGTAAATATATCACTTGTTACAAAATATGGTTCTGTTTATAATTAATGGAAATACATTATATCCATCACAATCAAAAATGCAACTCATCAAACAATTTAATAAGAAAACATTTCATTTATAGACAAGTAAGAGTTTAAAGGTTCAAAATGAAATTGTTTTTTTATTCAAGTTCACCTATTCAAAATTTTGCACGATAATTTGAATTGCCTATGACATATAAGACTTGGTTCATTCATTCCATATCTGTACTGAGGAACTATTATACAGGGAGACCTGTTCTTTAGGTCCTACTTTTACTGTTTACTTTTACTGTTTAAACCTTGTGCGTGCTAAGGAAAGGGATCTACATGTATACAGTCTCATTTAAGTATTTTTGGGGTGCACAACAATTTTGTACAGACTGGGAAATCTTCATGTCAATTTGAAAGCAATAAATTGGTTTCCTAAATAACTGTAATGTCTTAAATTAATATTTTTCTCATATTAAACATTATTTATATCTGCTGGTTAAAAGGCCTATTATATGCTTTCACCTTCATTTCTCAAAAGCTTTTTAGTTTTGGTAGCCTGTTGTAGTGTCCCCAAGTCACTCATTGGCCAATAACCTGAAGCAAAAGCAATAACCTGAACCAGCTTTTGCTTCTGTTGCCTTTGGGCAATTATTACAGCAACTGTGATTTAGAACTTTGTATGGAAGTCACAATACTCGTAATTTATTTTTTTCTACTTTCACGACAAATAATCTCACTTTCAGTGCTACTTTCTTCGGGGTGATAAGGATCTTACAAGCTCTAAAATCATTTATTTATTATTCAAATGTTATAAAACACATGCTTGTCCTTTTATAAAGGGAAAATTTATTTGTTTTCTGAGGCATTATGGGCCTTTAACAAATGATCAGTGTCCTAGTATAGAAGTGATCAATTAACATTTTCTTTGGTCTAAGTAATGGTTCTTTGATTAGTTGATTTTTTTCTATTACGGTAGATGAGCAAGCACTTTAAAGCTGTGGTCTCTTCCAAATAATTACTAATAACAAAAGAAGGAAAAATATAAAACAAACCTGGCTGTGTTGAAAAAACCATATAAAATACAGAGCAAATATAAGTATTAAAGGTAAATATAGCAAAACCATGCACTGTGAAAGAGTGAGAGGGAATGCCTGGTATTAAATCAATTTTTCAAAGATTTAAAAATGTAAAAGCAAACTTATAATAAAGTTTATTCTAGATTTTAGTCATGTAAAATAAATATGGTAAGAATTTGTTTAAAAACTGTTTCTAAAATTTCAAATTACAAATATTATAAACAGTTGTTAATTCATTCTCCGATACAGATAAATTAGCAAACAAAATAATAATATATGCCGCGTCATGACAAAACCAACATAATGAGTTTGCGACCAGCATGGATCCATACCAGCCTGCGCATTCGCACAGTCTGATCAGGATCCATGCTGTTCGCTTTTAAACCTTTTAACAAGAAGAGAAACTGATAGTGAACAGCATGGATCCTGATCAGACTGCGCGGATGCGCAGGCTGGTCTGGATCCATGCTGGCCGCAAACGCACTATGTTGGTTTTGTCGTGACGCGGCTCATATATCATTTAAGTACAGTTGTTTGACAATTCTCCACTTAGGTATTGAATAATAAACTGCTACATTGTATTGTTTTAATTCTTTAATATTACATATAGGCATGTGTTAAAAATAATATATAAACATATAAAATCAAAACAGTATCAGCAATATTCCACTTGAAAATTTACGTTACAGTCAATTTTCAAACAATAAAATATCTGATTAAGACATTTTCTTTTTACTTGTTTATATGGTGATAAGTGACAGTAATATAAATCGAAATGATGTCATCATGTTTTTTTCTGCATTTGTCCCTGCGACAATTAAAAGTGACATTGTGATCATCCAAGGGTATATATAAAGTGAGTATACAGATTAAAGTCAAAATAAAGTTACATTTCACTTTAATTCCTCTAAATTTTATTATTTACTTCAGATTTACGAAAAATAATTCATGTGGCCAAAGGAAATTTCATATACATGTACATCCGAATTTACCTGCAACATCCAATTTATAAAAGGAGTCGGGCAGTCATTTCGATTTATATATTTTAGGCAGATTTATATTTAATCCGAAACATTTTCCAATATAAACTGTTGGTCAATCACCATTATAACAGTCAATCTTTTGAAATATATAATCAATTCAGCTAAATTTGAAAAAATTAGCATAATGTCACTTTAAAGGAAATCAGTAACTGTACTAAATTTACAGATATCACAGAATATTCAATAATCTTTATTTTCTCAAGAAAATTCTATAGTGATTTTTTTCTACGCTACATTATATGCATACCCTTTATTACCTTATTATGGCGACGGACAACTAGACAACACAAAATTTTCAATCTCGTATCTTGCAACAGGAACTAAAACATGCTACTAAAACATATATTGCGTAAATGTTCTCCCACTGTGTATTGCTCTATGTCATGGTAAAAAAATACATAATTTTACACAGCATTATCCACAATTTTAAATTAACTATATGTTCATACTATTTCAGTCGTTTGTGATTTTAAAAAGAAAATTACCACATCACACTTATAGCAACTATAAATCGGTTTATAATTGTACACACTTATTTTCCTAGATTCGAGAACAAAACAAATGAGCCGTGTCACGACAAAACCAACATAATGGGTTTGCGACCAGCATGGATCCAGACCAGCCTGCGCATCCGCGCAGTCTGATCAGGATCCATGCTGTTCGCTATCAGTTTCTCTACTTGTTATAGGGTCTGTAAGCGAACAGCATGGATCCTGACCAGACTGCGCGGATGCGCAGGCTGGTCTGGATCCATGCTGGTCGCAAACCCACTATGTTGGTTTTGTTGTGACGCGGCTCAAATAAATAATCAAGACATTACCAGTATATCAATATAGAGCATGTATTTTGTCTTGTCTAAAAAGAAACATTTTTAAACAAAGATGATTTTCCAGTTGCCTTTCATTGACATATATTATGGCATTAAGAAATCTCAAACAAAAATTAAAGTACTGTATTATTGACATGAAAATATAGTACCAGACCAGTCTTGAGCAATGCATAAGCACTTTATAAATGTTTGGCAACACTTTGACCTCCACCCCCCCACTCCCACTCTTCTCTCCTCCCCCATTCCAGTTCACATACCTGTGTTAACTGACCTACTATAAGATGACAAATTGTCATCAAACTGCATCAATCAAGATCTGATCCCAGATCAAATCAAGCTAAACTGCACTGGTGTTTATGGTGTTTATTTATTTAGTGATGCCAGTTGTTTTCAACATAATTATACAATTAAGTTTTTAAAATATTGCAAAAATATTAAAATCATTTCGGCCTTTTCTCGCTTTATTAAACATACAATGTACGTAACTTGCTATAAAACATTTTATAGACTGGATTCATGCAAGCCTACTGGTAAAGAAATCTCATGTAAGATCCGATATAAAATGATATAAAATGAGTAACTCTCAAACATTTTGTTTACATGTCAATAAAAAAATTTAAATCAATAATAATATAAAAAACTCATGAAATACATGTTAATAGGTATATTTTGAGAGTTAGTTAGTTACTTTACAATGAATAATATATTTTAATATATCAATCTTAAATTATATTATATCTAATTGAAACTAATGTTAAAAGAAAATCATAAAAACTCAAGTTTATGATAAAATAATTTAGAACATATTTTTGTAAATATATGAAACTTTGACAATCCCCTCCCTGGAAAATCCCCTATTCAATCATTTTGACTGATTTTCATTTCATTACCATAAAATTCCTAATAAACGCCCCTCCCCTAATAATGGCCCCCCCCAAAGCCTTTTGATAAGGAAAACAATCTACTCATCAGTGCTGAACTCATAATAAAAGCCATAATTTTATTCAAATCATTCAGAATCCATTTTATTTTATAGTAAACACAAATATGTATAATATGAACTTTAAAACCCTAATACTATTTAATGTTATTACCAACACTTCCTAACATTAAATGTATTTACAGTGATTTTTGGATTAAGGAAAAACTGTGCTGTAATAATAGCCCCTCTTTTGGAAAATGTTTAGCCCCCGGGGGCGTTAAATAGGAATTTTACGGTACCTATTAAAATACCACCATCTTTTTTTTTATTTTAAAGACAATTTCGCACTTTTTTCTCACATCGGACATTTCCCAACTTTATTTTTTGAAAGGATGGAAAATTTAATTTCTCCCTTTTGTAGTTTACAACCAATAAATACAGTTTTTCATTGACTGCTTTGACAGAAATAATTAAATTATGTTCTCTTTGGCAATTATAATATATAACAGTTTTATTACATCTGTTTATTGTGCAGCATATCAAAGTTTATAGACATTTTGATGTTGCTTAGGTTTTTTAAATGAAATATTGTACACATGAGAATATAATTTTGTTAAAATCAGTCAAAATGAATGAGTGGGGGATATTTTACGGGAGGGAATATTGTCCAGGTACTGTTAAGAATATGAGCTGTGCCATGACAAAACCAACATGATGGGTTTGCGACCAGCATGGATCCAGACCAGCCTGTGCATCTGCACAGTCTGATCAGGATCCATGCTGTTCGCTTACAACTCTATTACAAGTAGAGAAACTGATAGCGAACAGCATGGATCCTGATCAGACTGCGTGGATGTGCAGGCTAGTCTGGATCCATGCTGGTCGCAAACCATTTATGTTGGTTTTGTCATGATGCGGCTCAAATATTCATGTCTGGTAAAAATATCACACCTCAGTGCCTGACTATTGTACAGTACATGCATTTTAATATACAAATACAGCTGCTGCACACAAAGTTGACACAAATTACTGAAAAAAATATCCAAACATAATTAACCGAACAGAACAAACAAGTTCAAAATTAACATATGGTAAAATACAGGCTAAACTCTTTTAACATGCTGTCTTTCCTAGATGGACTTTTACTGGGCTGTTTAATTTTGTTTCAAAATAAATCAAATCAGAACAATCAAATATTAACTATTAACTATTCTTTGATTGCTTCTTTCTTCCGAAACAGTCTCTATAACATTTCTTAAAGCATCAGTTCTCACAAAGTCAATTTCATGATATTCCGTTGGCGTAATACCCCCTGTGGCTCCGTGGGGGGATCTCATTGGTTCATTGTCCACTGGGTCATCGTGCTCAAGATCTACATATTTAAGTTCCGTGTCTTTGTTACCAGGAGCAGGTGGAGTTGTCCCCCATACATCCTATGGAAAAAAAAAAGAACAACAAAAGATGAAATATTTTCCTAATACTTTACCTTGAGCATGTTTATCTTTTTATTTCTTTCGTCTTTACATTTTTTATTATTAACAATTTAGTTAGCATACTAAATGAATGCTTTAGAATGATAATTTTGTCTGAGAAAAATAATGACTTATGCCCAAAACTTCTTATGTATGAAAATAAAGTGTACAGAAATTTTTTTTCCCATTTTTAGGGAGGGGTTTAATAGTCTACCTGACACTATGAGGTCATATAACGACCTTCCAGTTTTACTGGTGCAGCATCACCTAAGGGGATCCAGGTGCATTATTTCAGGTATTATTTCAGGTAGAAGAGAGTACCTGAGTATAACTAATGACCTTCAGTAAGGTCATGAAAGAATCCAAAGTTACTGTTGGGATTTGAACTCAGTGCAACAAAGGGGCTCCGTAAATCCTGCCCAAATGAACCTTTATTGATACAAATTTGTAAGGTGAAAACTACCTTAAAACTCTATAGAGTGCATTGTGTGCCGAAAATACACTGCACTCATATGTCACTTTATCTTAACCTATCAAACAAATTATAAATACAGTGCTTGAATTCTGGTTCATTCTTATAAAAAAGAAATATTTGTATTGAATATGATATAAATTTGAGGCCACAGTAATAATTAAGGCAAAGACTAAAATATTGACAAATACCGCTGATCCCATTTCATCATCATCTTCATCACTAGTTGAGAAATCAGGATGTCTATCTACTCGTTGTGGCAATGGCACACTTGACTGAGTTGGCTTGGCTAAGTTTGACTTCGGTTTAGTTTGAGGACTTCTACAAAAGAAGATGTAAAATTTTGTAATTTCCGCAGTTTAATCAAATTACTTTAGGTTGTTCTGTGGAAAATACAGTCACTTTCAACTAAAGATTTCACACTTTGTATTGCTACAGTTGTAATGTCACAAATATCACAGTATATAAACAAGTGTACTTCCTGTTATTGCAAGAAAGGTACAAGTTAAAATATAAACTAGGCTCCCAAGAAGGGTATAGTTATCAGAAGTAACAAAAAATTAATGCTTGTAATCGCAAGACAGGGTACATATTGAATTGTATAGGCTCACAAGACAGGGTACACATTAAATTACATATAGGCTAGCAAGACATGGTACAGTGATTTCATTAATAAACTGTGAATATATATTGACATTATATATATAAATACTTATTTACATGTATAACAAAAACTATAAGTCCTTCTGTTTCAATCACATTTCCTTTATACATTTTACAGATAGTATATAATAAAATATGCCAAAAGTGGTGACTAACTCGAGCTCACCACAAGTGGGCTCAACAAAAATGAAAATTACACAAGTGTCATGTAAACATTAAATAAATCAATGCTGCAAGTTATGAGTAAAAAATTACTTCCAGCATGTACATTTAAAACAGTTGATTTTAATGGCAGAAATATTACAACAGAATAACAATGAAAAATAAGGAGACAAAGTTACATTTTTATAACCAAACACTAACTGAAAATTTCTATCTTCATTCAAGGAAGAAATCATTTCTGTGCAAAATTTAACATTCTATACTGTGTCATTTTTGTAACCAAATATTTGCTGAAAGGTTTTTGCTCATTTTAAGAAAAATGTATTACTTCATTTCTATGAAAATTTAAACCACAAGAGGTTTTTTCTTTACTTTACAATACATAAAATATACTGTTATGAAACAACACCTTCCAACAATACAGGTGTTCCTATGATAAGCACTGAAGTAAAACCACCAAACTCATGAAATTAGCAGTTTACCATTCTCATATAAAAGTAAGAAATAAATTTCCACAGGATTTATAAATTTCTTAAGTGTTTCCCTACCCCTCCACCTCCAACAAGTCATTTTGCCCAGGTATATTGATGTCAGGAAGACAGGGTGAGATGTAAAGGGGTGGCTTAAGGCATCATTGTGAAAATTAAGAACAATGCTTACTTTCTCTGGACAAGTGGTGAACTGCCTTTCCTCTTAAAGCTTCTGGTCCTTGCTGAACTAGTTATAGAGTAAGTATCTTGTTTCTCAGAATCTGTAAAATAGATGGGAACATATTTAGGCTTCGTCATAACTTTATTCTATCAACATTTTCAAAAACTGCGCCTTCTTAGCTTTATTTGTGGACATTGTTAGTTTGATTGGGTTTGCACAGACTCTGTATAGGTCATATGGCGACGTTCCAGCTTTACTGATGAAGGAGGACCTAAGGTGCCTTTCCATACATTATAAAATCCCCATTCTCCTCTTTGGTAGGATTATTTCACTTGTATGTAGGCACAGAGAGACAGACAAACTTACTATAATGAAAATAGAAAATCCCCAGTGAGATTCATACCTAGAACCGTAATTCTGGGTATAACACCACATCCATTTTCTTGGAGACATCACTGTTAGATTTGAACCCTTTAGGGGTTAGGGTTTAATGATTCCAATTGTTTCTAAAATATAAGGTCTCTAACTAAGAGTTGTCCATAAGACAGAGCGTTGCTTGACAGTAAGAAAAGTGATATAACTCTGTAAAAGGTGTCTCAGGACCTGAGCCCATCATGTCAGATAATTACAGAGAACAAGTGTATTAAGTTTCAACATATACCCTTCAGTAATATTGGAGATATCAACTTCCTAACAAAAACTTAACAGAAGTGTGACGGTGATGCCGATCCTGATGCCAGCTTACTATATTCTTCGAATAGTCAAGATAAAAATGTTACATTGTGCTTTGTAAATGGAAAATGACGAATGTAATATATCTACACAACTATAACCAGTCAAAATATATGTATTCTATAACCAGTGTTCCATAACCAGTGTTCCATTATAACAATATTTGACAACAAAATAAGATAGAAATTAAGAAATAAAACAATCTATGAAATATCATTTTGACACTTGTCTTATAATTTGTTTTTGTAATCAATCTAATACGATTTTGTAACCAGTCCAATATGATTTTGTAACCAGTCTTAGAGTATGGTTTATCAACCAGTCTAATACAAGTATAGTATGATTTTATAATTACTGTAGCTTTTATAACCAGACTAACAATATGATATTGAAACCAGTCTAATAATAATATTTTGTTACAAGATTTTGAAGATGTCATTGGTGTCTTGAATCCTCAGAATATGAAAAACATAATTCATTTAACAAAAAAATGTATTTCTAAACATTATCATGATATAAACAACTTATTTCATAACACTTACTTATTGTTGATCTAAGAGGTCTAGGTGGAGGCATTGCTGGTCTTGACGGGGGCGGATGATCGTATAACTGCTGCCCCCGTCCTTCGAAAGAATCATCAAACGAGCTATGTCCAGCCATATCAGTGTATTCCACATCATCAGTACTGCTTGATTCTCGTGGTTGGGGAACATTGTCCCCCACCCCTAGAACTGGGTCCATTGTCAAATAAACATCTTGCTCTATCACTACCCCTTCCTTTGCATTATTATATATATGTGTACGTGATACACACTTACTAGGTGGGGGTGGTGTTTGAGTTAAAAGTTGATCACTTGTATCTATGTTACTTAAGTTATTATAATTTCCTTGGTTGTCCGACCTAGATCTTGGAAAATCGTACATTTCTGTGAGATCGATTCTAGCCATACCTGCAGTGGCAGGGCTTACAACAGAATTAATATCCACTTTATCTGAATAAGCCCGACTGTTTGTTGGAACATTCATATATGGTTCTTGTGAGCTTAGTAAATGACCTGGTTTAGGCGGACGTGACGGTGGTACGTCGTCCATGGAAACATTATGTGAATGACTAGGTGGTATGTCATAAACTTCATCCAAATTTTGTCCATCAGGTCTTATCGGCGGTATATCGTACATTAATCCTTGCGAAGAGTACGCTGAATCAGCCTTATGGCTATCACTACTGGAAGAACGAGGAGTACTAGGACTATTTTTTGATAGTGGAGGGATATCATACATTTCCTGTGGGTCGTGAACAGGTGGCCGTGCGGGTGGAACTTTGTATAAATCATCTTCTTCGTGTAACATTGATGACGGCGGAACATCATAAACATCGTGCTGTTCTGAACTTGGTGGAACATCGTATGTCTGATTAGGATGAAAAACGTCATTATCAAATTCTGAATTTCCTTTAATGGGTGGGGGAGGGGCAGGCTCATCCGGTACACTGTCAACACTTAACTGGCGATTTGGTCTTTTAATTGACGGACCGGATGTGCACGTTTCCAAAGGAATATATTCAGAATCACGATCAGTCACAGTTTCATTTGGTTTTTGCTTTCTTTCTGGTGCACCCCTTGACCTTGATGATGGGGATGACCTTGACCCCACTGATGAACTTAGATTTACATTATTTGGCGGTTTTGTCATTATCCCTACAGCAGATGCAGGAAGAGTTGAATGGGGTTGTAAAGTTTGAGCAGGTCTGGTCGGAGCATCTCTCGTACAGGTGCTTGCGGGCTATCTGGTTCCGCTGAAATATATAAAAAGAAATATTATTTCTCAAATTTCTTCAACGCAAATAATAAATGATAAAGAAAGAAAACAGTTAAACCTGTGTACACAAACAGGGAAAAGTGATATTGAGAGCAGGATCAAATACGCAAAAAAATCTAAATGCTGGTCTATTAATGATAGTTTTCCAGTAGAGATGCTACCTGTTAGTCGAGGTTTAACTGTATAAACTTAAACCAGTTTCAACCTGTAGCTTAGAGTTGAATTTAATAGAAAGACAGAATATTGAATTTACTACACATTGAAAAAAATCTACAAAGTCATTGGGTAAAAGACTGACTTTTTTCAGCCAGAAAAATGGAGAACAACAGGGAAATAAATAAGCTAATTAAGAAAATGAAAACATACATGGTGTTTCTCTACCTCAACAAAACCTATTATTACATAAATACTGATGAATTACAAACACATTTCATAATGATCATTTTTCACCCAAAAAGGGGGGCAACTCTAATCTTGTATCATTTTACTTTATACAAGCCATGCAGAGTTGCACATCTTAGTCACACTCAAAATTTCTCAGTACATGTATCAAACTGAAATACACTGAAATATGTTAGGCAATTTTTATTAAAGTTCTTAAAAATCTCTTCAAACTGTTAAAAGATGACTTACATAATGTCTTGTAAATTGAACTATATGGGAGGGAAAAATGGACAATCTCAATGCCCCCCCATCTCCCATCCTCAAAGATTTTTTTATTTAAGAGACTTAACTGATGTAGGAAAGACAAAATTAAAACAATACTTTTATAATGTGGAGTTAAACATTACACTGATACTGTGATGGTATTATATTAAAACATGGCTTCTTTCTAACTCTCAAGGTTAGAAATGGAGAAAAGACCTTAGGTGTCCCTTTGAGCATTATTTCAGGGTCAAGACGGGACCTTACAGTAGGACAAATGCCCTTATTTGTACACGAGCTAAAAAGCTTCCTAAAATATATCAATATACATGAATATAATTAAATGTATATATAGTACATGATTGTATTAGAAACACTAGATCTAATATCTTTACTGTCATCCTTTTTTTTTACTTTATATTCTTCAAGAATCGTTTAAACAAACAGATTGACAAACACGCAGACAGACAGACAATACAGATGGACACATTCATATCAACTGCCACTTACAGATGGACAAACAGGTAGAAAAGGACAGACACATGGAAAGACATTCTTCATAATAATCTACCTGTTTTTTTCCTAGAATATTCTCACTAAAATGTAAATAACGTAACTCAAACCAAAACTGTTTAAATTGTTAAAATGTCTATCTTGATCACACAAATTTGTCACAGATTAATAATGTTGAGAACTTACTAGCAGTAAAATAATCTGTAAATAATAATGGTGGTTAGCCGCTTGACAAGGATATTATTATAGACTATTTATAGTCATATATCATCATTAATTTATACCCTACCAAATCTGTATAATGGGCTTGCCTTGCTGTTAATTTGGAACAGTCAATTAATTCAAAAATTAAGGGATTTCAATATCAAAATACGAAAATTTACTTTAGGTACCATCAGAATTCAATACTACGGACACTAGGGGTGTCTTTAATATTATGGATGATGAAATGTTAAATTTTTTTTTTTCAAAAATGACATACATTTAGTTTTATTGATATCTTATTTATGGTAAGTATATGTGCTGAGAATGACAAATATACAATTTATTTGGATTTAAGGGCGTTTTGAGTTCACAACCCAGAATAGATGCTGGTTAGAATGCCAGAATAGGCCCTGGTTTAACTATAGCAAAGGCTAAACATTTTTGAGCCAGAAGGTTAAGGGTTAACTCACTGAGAAACTAATGTACAAATCTTAATTTTCCATGAGAATATTAATTTTTTTGAGTATATTGAAGACATGCAGACTTAATAAAAGGTTTGATCGAGCAAATTCATGGGTAGTAGTTCATGGGTAGTAGTGGTAAATAAAGAACAGCCCAGACCCTCTAACAGAAGCCTAATACATGAAGAAATGTAAAATCGTAAAAAAAAAAAGATTTTGTCCTTACCTGACTCATCAGGTTTCATTCCACATACGCTACACAGGTTTCGAACCCACGCGGACATCTGTTCTTCCGTATCAGTAGCAAGAAAATATGTCCGATCTTTTCCCTTAAACGTTGTTTTTATTGCTAACAGATACTGAAACTGGTCTGAGTCTAGAGATTCAATGATTTCCGCGCACTGTTCAAGATCGATCGTCCCGCGGACACGCTTCAGGTTTTCATCACTGTAGTAATTGAGGTGGTAAGTTCCTGGTAGACTCTGGGCCGGTTTGGACAGGACAAAGTAACGTTTCTTCCATTTCTGAAAAAAACAACAACAAAAATGACTTATATTACTTTGCGATCTTTTTTCATATCATCATTTAACATAAACCCAAAGGACTTATATAAAACAAGCAAACCATTCTGATTTACATAAGTTCTACAGATTAAGTTTGAAAATCATAGGAAAAAAACAACAAATGAACAATACTTTGAGCTGAAACATTTACAATTCTAAGTCCAAACAGTTAATTGCTAATCAATATTTCATAACACTTGAACAATACCATTTTAAGAAACATAGTCTAAAAGCCTTTTGAATTATGTCCTTAAAAATGAAAAGAAATAAACAAATAAAACATTTCTCTAACATGTGACAACTTGAAGTATAAAAGTCTAAGATTTACTGATGAGAGTCACTAAAAAAATTCCATTTCTAAATCAAAAGAACAATCTAAATTAACTTAAAATAGAAACAATTAAAAAAAATTTGTGAGACGTCATATGACTTTGACTTATTAGTACGTAAGTATGATAAATAATTCTTAGAAATCCTGTTCTCAAATTTCAAGCACTTCAAGTTAAATCTATAAAAACATCCATGAATCTATTTCTGAAATAATGTTCATGGTAATTTAAACCAAATTTCAAAAAAATATTTTAATATATAAACCTTCGGAAAAAAAAAAATCATTTAAAAGAGGAATAAAATTATTTAAAGTCCGCTTAATTTGCACAATACAAATACCTGTGAATTATCATCCCTAGATCTCTTTCAACTGTAAAAAGTCTTTATTTATATCACATTTCTATCGCAATTTTTAGTGATAATAACAAAACTATAAAAATAATGTCTCATAAATCGCATAAATTTGAAATTATTTTTTTTCCTTATTGTGTGATTATATCATAATAGTTTCCTCTTGCTATCAACAAAACATAATACAGCATACAGAAAAAACCAGAAGGCCCCATATTTCAAACATAATCTCTCATTCTCTTTCAAACATTCATAAAAACGGATTTTTACAAATTTTCCTCCCCATAATGCATCAAATGATTTCCTGTCGTACGTTTTTTTTGTAGTGGCGGCCCTCTTAGTGGCGAGTGCCATCTGCAGTTTTGACAACGACGACGTGAATGAATCTCAGATTTCAATAAAATACGTACTTGAGGCACTCACTGTGCATTATATGGTCCAATATGGTTTATTATGATCTGGCTTCCAAAAGCCAAGCTTTGTTTCCTTAAAATATATGTTTTTTTGTTGTCTTTACTTTGCACTACAACTAAATATTAAAAACTTATTGATGTTTCATTTAAAAACTATTATACAAGCCAGTTACAATGTTAGACAGTTACTGATAAAGATGGAGATTTTTAATAACCAGTAGAAAACAAAATTTGTCTTATTTAAACATGTCAAATAATGGATTTTAAACCTTAACCATTAAACTTGTGAAATATTTAGGTCCCTGAATCATACAGACATTTGATATGTGTTCTTTAAACATTAAAATACTGCTTAAAATGTCAAAATAATCATTTTACTTCGCCCGCACGAAATATTCATCTCTTCCGGTTTAAGAAATGAGTAAGGAAATTTTAAAATAAACGAAACTTGTGAAATTTATGCAGAAAAAAAATAATCTTATAATGACATCTATATTGCAAGCTGTGACTTACAACAAGTATAGAACCTGGCTTATCTGCACTAAGAAACATTTAAGTCGGAAACAGCACTGTTACTTGAACCAAGGACTACGTCTGTTACACCAATGCTGTTGTTAATTTATACAAAACTATTTATCTTGAATGTGAAACAATTCTTTCAAATTTGAGTCTGATTCCTTCACTAACAAAGTACTGGTCACATATGAGGAAACATGGGAATGACCTAAGTTAAGTTTGAACCAGGACGCAGACACCTTTAAACCAGTAGGCTACCAGTATAAAGTTAGGGCACCCTGAACCACCAGCCTCAAAGCCGTCCGGTTAGCTCAATAGGTAGAGCATTGGACGGTGATTTTGGCGACCAGGGTTCGTCTCCCGGTCGGTGCGGGTCACT